GCCTGAGACGGCCTGCGGGGGCCACCCGCGCTCTGCCGCCGGGGCTGCCAGAGCAGCCCTGCGCCCAGGCCGTGAACCGCTGAGGCTGCCCTCCGGTACCCCATACTTCTGCGAGGCAGTCACGGCCTGTCCCCTCCGCAGTGTAGGAGGCAAAGGTCTGCAGGCCAGGGGGGCTGGGCCTTGGAGGAGGAGCCGCCCTCCCACACCCAAAGACGCGCAGAGAGGAGGTCTACTTAGAATATTTATTTATCCTTATACATGACAAGACACAAAAAGTTTCAACTTCTTAAAACTCTTCAAAAGAAAAAATATAATTCTGTAAGCAGCAGCAGCAGCTTCCAAGGTACAGACACCGGAGGGGGCAGCTCCCAGGAGCAACCGTGAAATGGGGGCCAAGACCTGAGCCCCAGGTAGTGTCGCTGGGAAGGGGCCTCCGCAGAGGGGGCCGGGTTAGGGGACACAGCACCAGCACTTCAGGATCAGTCACCAACACGATCACAGCAGGCAGGGCAAGGAGCCTGCCCGAATTCACAACATCGGGGTCGGAGGGAGGGGGCTTCCCCAGCATGGTCAGGAGAATGTGGTTGGCCCGGGGGGCTGTACAGCAGCTCCTACTTCCCCACAGCAGAGCAGGCGCCCCCTTTCTCCATACTGGTCTTCAAGTCTGCTATTGGGCCTGGTCGATCCCAGTCCAGTCCAATCCAGTCCAGTCCAGTCCAGGGATGTGGGGGGTCTCAAAAGAGGCCAGGCTGCAGAAATAAATTCCTGGACGGGGTCAGCAGAGGGTCTGCAGCACAGGGTCTGCCTGGCCACATTGCACAAGCAGCAGCACCTCCAGCCCACACCCACAGAGCCAGGCCAGCTGAGGGCTGGCAGGCACAACCTGCTCCCCACCATGCTTATGCATGCACACAGCCCTCCTGCAGCCTGGACGGCCTGCAACAGGGGCTGAGGTCCCACCAGAAGGTCCCACAGTGGGCTGCTTGCCCTCGGAGCCAGCACTCAGTGTGAGCCCCACCCCTTGGATTCCTGCAAGGCTGGCCAAGGTGAGGGGAGCAGCAGGGACGGTAGGTGGAAGGACAGGACAGGCAGAGTCACATGGGCGCAGCAAGTTCAATAAATAAGTTTGTCTGGGTCCCCTTTGTAAACCAGGAGAGCCTTGGATGCCAGTGATGGGGTGTAGGGTCCAGCCTGCTCAGCCCAGGCCCGGGGCCCCCAGCCCAGAGACCAGCTCTGTCCCTGGGGGTGTTCAGTCCGGGCAGGACTGGGTCATGGTGTGGCTCAAGGAATGTACAGATATCTGCATTTTCTACATAAATAAGACATTGATCCCAATGGTGGTGCCCAGAGGGCCCCATGGGGCCTATGTGTGCACTACCCCGTGGACCCTGTACCCTGCCCCTGTCCTCCCCCACCAATGGAGGAGGACTGGAGAGAGACCTTCCCTCTCAGTCCTGGACCAGCTGCCCTGCTGTGCACCCACAGTGGGCTCAGGCTTGGGGTTCCTGTAGCAGCTGCAGGAAGGACTCAGCAATGCCCAGGAAATAGACCACTTGCGCAATGCCAAACAGTGGAGCGATGACCAGTGCGCGGCAGTAGGCGCCCTTCAGGAAGGCGGAGGGGCCCTCGTGCCGCCAGATCTTCCTGTGGGGAAGGAAAAGGTCAGCACAGTGCCTCCCCCTCCCCAGCCCCAGCCCTGGGACCAGTCCCACCTGGCACAATCCAGAAAGCCAGAGTAGGTGTCTTCATTGACGCCACGCTGCAGTGACTGGAGCCGTGTCTTCACCACTACAAGAGGCACATGCATCAGCACAGGAGCACAGCCCTTGGCCCCCATCCCCAGCCTAGGCTCCAGGCTCAGCACTGACCATCACAGGGGTTGACAGCCACGGCGGCCGCACTCCCAGCGACACAGCCAGCCAGAAAGGATACATAGAAGGGAGACTTCTCCTCGGACGCTGAGCGGCCTAGCTGGTCCAGGTTGGCAAACAGGGGGAAGTAGACGATAGAGAAGGGGACGTCCCTGCGGAGAGGGGATGGTGACACCTACAGCAGGGTGGGGTGGGCACAAGGCTCCTCCACCTTCCCACCTTCCCACCTGAGCAGTGTGGCCCCGAGTCCCTTGTAGAGGCCAGCAATCCCGCGGCTTCGCAGCAGGTCTCGGGTCAGCTGGGTGGCTGTGGGCCGGGGCACAGCAGGGGCCTCCGTGGAAGTTGGGGCACCTGCCTGGGCAGAGAGCTGGGCCTGGGCAGCCAGAATCTTCTTCTGGGCAGCTAGTGAGAAAAGGACTTTGTTTTCTTCCTCTGAGCTCAGAGCAGGGCACAAGGCCCAGCTGCTGCCCCTACCCTGGCCCTCACCAATTCGGCCTGCATCCTGCAGCTGGATCTTCAGCATCTCCATGGGGGTAGTGACAATCACCTGGCAGGTACCAGCCCCACAGCCTGCCAGCATCTCCTTGGGCAGAGTCAGCTTCTGCCTGCGAGGGTGAGGGTATGAGGAAAAGTGGGGGCCCCTGTCTGGCACAAAGGGCGGGTGAGGCCCTCCAGCAGCAGGCAGCAGGCCCAGGGACAGATGGCCAATCGGGCAGGGGCCAGGAGGCACTGAAGTAGGATCTTGCATGTGTTGGGAGGGGTCACATTGACAGCCCATGCTCCTTGACAGGGGAGCTGGTTGGTCCCCCAATTCTAGCAGCAGGCAGTGGCTGAGGGCCAGGCACAGCTGACTCACCGCCACGCGCCCCCTCATCCCCACACAAGGAGAGGCACCTCACTACGCCAAGCAAGCCAGAGCAGTGCTCCAGACGGGATCCAGTGGCCAGGGCTGATGTCCATGTCCACCCAGGCATTGGCCATGGTCCCTCACCAGGACCTGGGTCCACAGCAGCCAGGCAGGCTGAGTCCCTTACCCGTCCTTCGAAAGCTGATGCCGGAAGAAGTCATTAGCTGCCAGCTTGATGGCTTTCTCAGGGGTGACCAAGGTCAAGTTCACAGCCGCTCCTGTGGGGTATTCCAGGGTCAGCAGGGCATGGGGGACGCAGGCAGGTGGTGTGGGGGGAGATGACATGCTGTGCCCTGACGGGGGAGGCTCTGGGCCAGTACATGCCTCCCAGCTGGCAAAGCCCCGAGCACTACTCCTTGGCCGCTGCATCCTGCCCTCTCACCTACATTTCGGCTTGGTCTGTGCCAGATGGGGTGGGGACCAGGCAGAAAAGGGCCAGCACTGTGGCCACCTCCCCTGTGTTACTGTCCTCCCACGCTGACCACCACCCTCCCCTCCCTTTGCATCTCCTCCCCCACCCTCCATCTGTCTCAGATGCTGGCGAGACCCTGGAGCCCATGGCAGGCCTCCCTGGGAACACCTTCCTCCTGGAGGACACAGGGTTCTTCCTCTGCAGGGTGGGGGTGGTGCAAGGACACACGTGTCAGAACCAGCAGAGGTGGAGGACAGCCCCTTCTCAGTGCCAAGGCTCAGAGCTGCACATGTGGGCAAATCCAGACCTCGCACTCCTTCCTAAGCTGCTTTGCATAATGCCCCTGCCTCCCAGACTCAGGCACAGGCTGCGTCCCACCTGTCCTGGCAGGCAGGGGAGGAGGCACAGATCCAGGGCAGTGCCCAGGCACTGGCAGTAAATGAGGGCATGGTGGCGCCCAGATATGGGTCCCAGACCTGGCCCCCCAGATGCAGCCCCGTACTCAGTGCCCTCCCCTAGCACCCCAGGCCACCTCCACATGTACACACTAGGCCTGAGTGCACCTCCCTGCCCCACTGGCAGCCTGCCCTGGCCCAAGCCTCACCTCGGTACATGCCAAAGTACCCCTCCGAACGGATGGTCTTGATCAGGCAGTCAGACCTGTGGCCAATGGGGGTGGTGAGCAGGGGGGCTGGCCAGCTCCCCAGTTCCTGTGTGCAGATGTGAGCTGGCACCTTCTCCGCCCAGCCGAGCATCCAGGGCCCACAGGTCAGCCCCACAGCCCAGCAGGGCCCTGGCCAGTCCTGTGTGGGATTCCCCAGGCCTGCCCTGCCCCGTCCCCTTGTCCAACCTAGGGGCACAGGCGCGGAGCCCCAGCACACTCACATGCTTGAGTACATGCGCTGGCCATTCTGCTGGTTCTGCAGCCTCGTCTTGGCCAGGTCGATGGGGAACACGCAGGTGACCCCGATTAGCCCAGCGATGCCACCATTGATGAGCTTGGCTGGCAGGCTGTGTGCAGGGGACGGTGTCAGACCCTTTCTTCACCACAGCTTGTGGGTGGGGTCTGGGGTGGGGGTGGGGCCAGCCAAGAGGGGTCCAGGTGTCTGACCTGATCTGTTTATCAGCCATTTAACTCTGACACGCAGGCAGGACCAGCAGAGGTGGCCACCAGGCGGTACAGGGCCGAAGCCAGGGAGGGGGAGGGGCAGTGCAGCAGCAGCAGCAGTGGTGGGCAGGTGAGGGCCGGTGGGGCCGATGCAAGAGGCAGCTGCTCCTCCACCCTCGGGGACTGTAAGGTGTCGGCCCACTCCTAAGCAGAAAGGAAGAAAGGACAGGGATTAGTGTGGGGGCGGGGGGGGCTGCACAGGGCAAAGCTTTGCTCCCCACCCTTATCTCACAACCAGCTGCACCCCCAACCCTCAACAAAGCCTCAGCACACAGGGAGGGGGTACAGGAAGAGGGAAGGGAGGCGCCTGCCACCTGGCCCAGACCTGGGGCCACCTGGTTTCCCCTCAACACCCGCCCCAGTATCCTCCCTGCCAACCTCGCACACGCTGGGACACGCACACACTCACGCTCACATGCACACAAGGCAAGCTCCAGTTTTTAAAGGGCCAGGCACCTCTGGGGGACCGGCTGTGACAACCAGCCCCCAGCCTTGAGCAGGGCACCCGGCACCTGTGCTCTTTGGGAGGGGTATGGCTCTCCTCCCTCTACCCCAGGATCCCACCCAGATGGGGCCGGCCACTGCAGGGCAACCCCCTCCCATGGAGACTAAGGTACCCACCACACCAGCCTGCCACCCACCTCCTCTCCACCCAGACGCACACAAGAACCCAGGGAGCAGGGCCTGGGGAGCCCCGAGAGTGGGTGGCCAGAAGGGACAAGTGGGGGTTCACTGGAGTCCTGAGACTGTCCTCCCATCCTCTCTAGGGATGAGGGTGGAAGGGCCTCTCCCACCAGCAGCAAGGCTGGGGACCAACAGCCAGTCCCAGGGGCCTTCCCAGGGGACGCTGTCAGGAAATGGAGCCATGGGGGTCTCGTAGCCTCCCAGGCCCTGCATGTCTCCCTCAGCACCTCAGAGGTCAACTGTTCCCAGCTTTGCAGCCCTGCAGGGTCACCCAGCTGGCTCACACCCAAGGGCCCTCCAGGGCAGAGACCTTCACCTGGCCGTGCTTCCTACCCTGTCTGAGGCCTGAGAGTCCTGCTCACCCCAGGCGCACAGCCCTTCCAGGTTCCTCCACAGCTCCTGCAAGCTGCTCCACTCAACCTCAACTGGGAGATAAGCGACTGGGAGTCAGTGAGGTGCCCCGCGATTGGCCACGGGGATTGGCCACGGGGTGGGGCGGGGCGACTTTCTCTTTCACTTTGCCAGCTAGGGATCCTTGCAGCCTCCTGAGAGGAAGAGAGCGGTGAGGCAGTCTCTCTGGCCAGGGTCCAGTTTGAGAGCCTGGATGCAGGAAACAGCGGCCTGGTCTGGCTGACCCAGCATGCCAGGCCACCCACCCACGGACCCTGGGCCCTTGGCTGCCCAGTGGGTTCCTGGCTGCAGCCTGTGGAGTGAGCCTGGACCTGCCTAGGGCCCTGGCATCCCAGGACTGAGGCTCTGGGTGCAAGCACCTTGCATGTGCACCCTGGGGAGATGCTGCGTGACCACCTAGCTCTAGGCCTGTGTGTACCTCGGTGACCCTCTCACAGGGCATAAGACCATCTGCCAGAAAGGGCAAAAAACAGCAGCCTGACACTCTGCTGACCTGCCAAGTCCAGAGACCATGGAGCGCCCTTCGCCCTTGGCCCTGCCACTCACACACCCAGCCTCAGGGACACCTGCCTCTGATGGCCCTGACCTCTGAACTTCAACCTAATCTTTCCCTCCCCAGCCTGCCCACTCCACCCCCAGGGTGTACACTGGATGCAGCCAGCTCTCCTCAGCCTGTGCGAACTGTGAGACCCCAACCTGCCCCCAGACCGGCCTCCAGTGTACTGAGTGGGGACAGGGGGGCGCTGGGGGAGGGAGTCCTGAAATGACCTCCTCTGAAGTGGGCGGCAGGGCGACAGAGTCCGCCCTGGAGATCCTGAGTCAGCCCCACACCCCACGCCCTGGAGACCAGGACAGAGCACGGGGAGGCCGCTGGAGGGGCTCCGCCTGGCACAACTCCAAGGGGGCCCCTGAACCCGCTTCCTGTCTCACTCCCTGGTTCCACCCCGGCTCGATCGCTGTCAAGGGCCCTCGCGATTGCCTCAGAAGGCGGCACAAGGCCCCTGAGTTCCCAGGGGCGAAGTCAGTCCGCAGCCCCTGCCATCCTGCCAGGTAAACTGAGGACACAAGCAGGGTCAGAGCACGAGCCCGCAGATGCCACCCGAGGGCCCACGCTTTAGGGTCGGACCCTGGGTGAGGTCGGAGGGGCGGAGGGGACCGGGCTCCGCACGCTCCACATCCCCGCGTCCCTCCCTCTGGCCGGCCGGGCCCAGAAGGCGACCCGATGGGGACAAAGGCGGGGCGCCGGGGCCGCGTGCTGCTCTCCGCCGGGCTCCGGGCCTGCCCTCGGTGCTGGGACCCGGCCGGCCTCAGGCCCCCGACAGGGACCCTGGCCGTGTCGGCGGGGACACGTGTGCGCCCCGCCG